AATTCCCCAGCCAGCCATGCTGTCCACTCATCTTAAAGTGGCCAAGTTTGGACAACACTGGGTTAAGGAGTTGGATGAGTTTCAGTCTGCTCATGGAGTGGCTTTGGGCCAGTTATTCTCTCACGGCCCGCCAACTTCGCCAACTTCCACTTGGGGAAAATAGCAGGAATATATGCGGCCTTGAGCTTTTCTGCAAACAGCAGGTTATAGTCCAAATGCACGCAAACCTACAGTGTGGAGCCACTATCTGAACATAGTTTTGATATTGGGTGATTCAAGGCGCTACCTGAGCAAGGCTGCCGTTCACCCGTTGAATAAGAAAGCTGCATGGCTTCATTCTCCCAGCGTCACGGACCCTGCGCTTGCGAGCGCAGATTTGCGCGAGGAGCCAGCCCATGACTTAGCATATTTATAATATTTCCTCTCTGTCTTTTGGCTGCTTTCTGATTTCTTTACCTTAATTTCCTAGGCCTGTGGGAGGAAGTGCAGCAGGGGGCGCTCTCTGTGCTCGGCCACAGCGGCTGCAGCCGGAGGGGCGGAAGGGCGGCGTCTGGCGTAGGCAGGCAGGCGCGGGAAGCGTAAGCCGGCCCTCGAGACCGCGGCTACGCTAGGCAGCGTGTCCTCCCGCGATTCCTGCCCGGAGCTTGGCTTGGGAGCTCCGCAGCAACGAAGAAGGAACAGCTACAGCGAGGCAGCAACTTATTTCACCCAGTACGAGACCAGGTGAAAAAAAGCCTTAAAAGTCGTATGCTACTTTATAGACTTTGGGGCTCTTCTTTGAACTGCGTACTAAAAGATTGAGTATAAAGGACCTTGCAAGTCCTAGATGGGTGAAGAGCAATAGCTTGTAGTCGTTGGAGAAGGTGTGGGCTGCAATGAAGCACTTTATACAGATTTGCTATGCTGTGGTGTGTCCAGTCCCTGGATAGCAAAAGACCCTCACAGTCTATCTTCTCCCCCCCCCCCCTTAGGTTTCAATCTAATCTTTTGCTCAGGAGCTCCAGACAAGGTACATAACAGCCCTTGGTCCTGTTTTCCCCCACAACAACAGCCCTGTGAGGTAGGCTGGGCTGAGAGAGCACGACCGGCTCAAAGTCACCCAGTGAGCTGCTGTGGTTAAAGGTGGACCAGAAGCTGAGTCTCCTCAAGCCACACACTCTCCACTACACCAGATTACTGCATTTAGCCACGACTCTTTGTAAAAGAAAAAAGCTTTGAATGATTATGCCGTTAGGAGTAAGTCAGTTGTAGAAGCCCAAGCAACTTTTTGTCCACATTTTGAAAAGGAAACAGGCAGAATTCGTGTGGAAAAAATGGATGCAGTAGAGCTTGAGCGATTTGGAAATTATTAGAAACCCAAATTTTGGGTCCTATCTAATAGATGAATTACAGGTGACTTAAATAAGGTGTGAATATTGACAAAATGGGTTTTATGAAATAAGAATGACTAAACTAATGCAAACTTTGTAACAGTATAACTAAGAAATAGTATAACTACTTTATTTGCAGAAGAGCAAAGTCAGGTCGTATGAGAAAGTGTATACAGTATTTGGTTCTTATGGATATGCCAGCTAATACGCATCAGTGTGGTAAAAGTGTGCCTGAGTAGAATTCTGAATTAAGAAATATTGCACATCATTTAATTGTAAAGCTTATTTTATCAAGCTTAAATTATGAATCTATAGTTACCATGAGTTTCATTTTATTAGCAGTGGGATTTCCCTCTCCTTCAAGTAGGAAAGCAAGGGGATAGGAAGGGAGGATAGAAGACTGTTTTCAGCGGTATTAAATAAAATGTAAGTGATTACATTGACCTTTATTCTGGGGTAATTGTGACTGTTTTAATTGTTTTATTGAAGGCACATCCAGCCAGAACACACCCAAAGAAGCGCGGAGATCTTTCTTTAGGGAAATTTTTCTCATATGACGGCAGGGCTGGTGCTGTGGAATCCCCCCCTCCCTATTTTTTTCACCTCTCTAGAAAGCCTCCCCTCTTGTTAGCAAAGAGAAAATCCTTGGGAGCTGGCAGTGGAAGTTAACAACCTTGTTAGTTAGTTAGTTAGTTAGTTAGGGTTGGGTGGCGTCACTTAGAAAGAAAACAGAAAACTTTGGTTGCCAGACAAAGATCTGCTCTCTCCAGCATCCAGAGCACAAATGGCACAGAATCACAGAGCCCCGTAGTGGGTGGGAGGGGCCGTCCCGCAGCGGGCCAATTGGAGCCCTGCGGGTCACCGGTCTCCCTCAGGCTCCTCCTCCAGGTGAATCAGAACGTTTGGCTGGGTTTCCAGGATGGAGACTCCATTGTGAGGAGACGTCCTCTGCACGAGGCAAGCAGGCCATCTCCGTGCTGGGGACAAGAATGAGGCTCCTCAGTCTTGGAACCAAGCTGGTAACTTGACAAGCCTTCCACTAGATGTAGCCCATGTCTCTGGAATCCCTGCGAGGCATACCCGATCCGTTGCAGCTACAACAGGTTGAGACTGTCCAGTGTACCCAACCACTGCACCAACGGGATCCTAAAACGGTGTGGCATCCAATCCACCTTCTTCGGCCACATTGTCATTAGGCTCCTCCAGCATAATATTCAGGAAACAAAGAAGGCGTTCATTTTGGAGGTGAAGATGGTATTAGTGGGGGCAGTATACTCTTCCATCCAGCGTTATCACATATCACAAAAAAGTGGATCACATTTTTCCTTCACTGCAGCAGTTACCCACACATTCACTAGTCTGTGTTGGCACCTCATCTCCCTCTTACAACTCCTTCAGTGACTTTGCGGTACAGACATAAAAACATTTTCGTCTGTGATAGACATGCCGAGGTTAATTTTAAATACAGTTAGATATACTCAGTTGAACACTGCTCTCCACCAGATTCTTCTCTTTTCTCTTTTAGACTAAAGATATAATTGAAAACAGGAAGCCCTTGCTTACCAACAGTGATTGGGACCAGGAACTCCATCACTAAATGAAAGGTCGTAAAGCGTGACATCATGTGAGCTATGATGGCAGTTGCAGCAGTTCCAGTTGCCATCATTACGCAAATTCCACACGGTCGCAGCAGCTCACAGTCACACGGTTGCCATTTGCATCCTCCTGCCAGCTTCCCCATTGACTTTGCTTGTCAGAAGCCGGCAGGGAAGATTACAAATGGTGATCACATTAATTTTAAAAAGAGTATCCTGATGGTAAATGCTGTCAACCAATGGAAAAGGTGGTGTCATGAAATGCTATGCTCCCCTTCATCAGACTATTTATGAAAAGCTGAGACGGTGCAACACAATATATACTTCCATTCATTAGATTACTGTCAATACAAATCAGCGGCTGACGTTTTTAGACTCCTAAAGCTATTGAATTAATACACAGGATTTTTCTGACTTGTACTTCATTTTCTTGGTAGGTGTCAGCTATGTGGCTCTACCTGGCTGCCCTGGTGGGGCTTTACTTCCTTCGGCGATGGTACCGAGAGAGACAGACGGTGGAGAACCTGACGGAGAAATACATCTTCATCACGGGGTGTGACACTGGCTTTGGGAACCAGCTGGCCAGGCAGCTGGATGCTCGGGGCCTGAGGGTGTTGGCCGCGTGTCTCACTCCGGAAGGGGCAGAACAGCTGGAGAAACTCACATCGGACCGGTTAAAAACCACCCTGCTGGATGTCACCAGCACTGAGAGTGTTGCGGCAGCAACTGAGTGGGTGGAGGAGCAAGTAAGGGATAAAGGTAGAGTCTAAATGGGGTTCTTTCTGCATGAGGCCAGTTGGACCAAACTATTGGCCCACCTAGCCAACAACTGGAATTCTACAAGCAGAAGATAGTATCCTTCCCTAGGATTTCTCCCCAAAATCTGGGATGTGAAAAAGCATTATCTCTGATCATGAAGTTCCATGATGCTTTTGTGGACAATATTTTTGAATAAATTTACCTGTCATAACCTCCTGTCACCAATACTTCCATCTTCCAATTGTGTTTCACTTTATTAGCTATCATTCAGCATTAGCTAGTCTAGGCAAGTTCAACATTTTTTCAGCCATACCTGACATGCCTTTAGAGAAATAGAGTTGATGGCATCAGCCCACTTAGCACTCAGGGGGTGTCACCCAGTCACTGAGTATAGTTGAAGACCAGGGCTGATGAGGTGGCACCAAGGAAAATCCTGTTGCCTTGCTCAGATACTTCCAAGCAGTGCAACTCAACTCAAAAGTGGTGGAGATAACGTGCTCTGCCTTGAAGGGTGGCAGGGCAGAATCAATGCCTCTAGATTTGACTAGTTCAAAAACTGCAGTCTTTTTCCGTAGGCCTCTGGGGCTTGGTGAACAATGCAGGCATCGCTTTCCCGTTGGCCCCCAACCAGTGGCTGACCAAGGATGACTTTGCAAAGGTGCTAGATGTCAACTTGCTGGGAGTGGTTGATGTGACACTCCACCTGCTGCCCCTCATCAGGAGAGCCAGAGGGAGAGTGGTCAATGTCAGCAGCCTGGCTGGAAGGGTTGCCTACAGCGGAGGAGGCTACAGCCCGTCAAAATTTGCATTGGAAGCCTTCTCCGACAGCCTCCGGCAAGTCATTCCCACGGATAATCATTTCATTCTGTTTCTCCTAGGCCTGCTACCACCACGGGAAAGAGGAGATGAGGCTAGAACTCGTCTAGCCTCTCATCTCAGTTAAAAATGCGCTTGTTGAATACGTATCATCACCATCTGCTAGGCATCTCATGTTTCAACTCTGTCTTTTTTTATTTTTTGGCTTGGGCATTCCAGCATTTTCTGTCCAGGTTTACGTCCAGGTGCCTTACTTTCAAAATGAAGCACTGCCAACCCTTGATTTGGCTTCCCTTTCACATTCCTGCACCCCAGCATTTTGGGTTTCTTTTTTTAAAAAACACACTTCATTTAATGGAAATCCACATAATTGTATACTTTGATACTTATCCAATAGCAGTAAAACAAGAACTAAAGTAAACTAAACTAAACAGAAACTAAAAAGAAAAATGTCACTCTGATTTACTTTTAATTTTCCCAATTCTGATTTTGGTGGTGGTGGTGGTGATGATGATGATGATGATGATATTTCTGACCCCCCACCTACCCAGACTTGACTGATCTCAAAAACCTCAGTAGCTTTCAGTTGTATGAAAATTTTATTAGACTTTAAGGTGCCACAAGACCAATTTTTGCTTTTAGCCTGTATAGAAACTGCTTGAATGTGACTGTGAAGTCACAAAGAATTGAACTCAACTTGAAGACTTGCAGACTTTAGCCCAGCAGGTGGCAGCAAAAAGCCAACTTTGGCTGATCTCCTAAAAACTAAGTGGGATCAGACCTGTTTAGTACGTGGATGGTGGGCAACTAGGAAATCCCCGGGCTAGACCAAGAGTTAAAAATATCCTGGAATAAGGCAGTGGCAAGCCACTTCCACATTGTTGCCAGGTAAACTGCATAGACAGATGTGTTAACAGGGTCACCAGAAGCACCATGTAGTCACCATGCAATCGAGGGGACATTTTATGAAGGGTATAAAACCAGTCAGATGAAGCAAGGAATTATTCTAGTTCTGGGCAGGGGGTGGGGAACCACCACTTTTTCAAGAGCTGATTTTCCTTGTAGGCGTGAACTGCGTCCTTTTGGGGTCAAAGTCAGCATCATCGAGCCAGGCATGTTTTCAACAGGAATTAATAAATGCGCAACAGAGTACTTCACCACCTTCTGGAGCAAAGTACCAGCTGATATCAAAGAACTCTACGGCCAGGAATTCAGGAGTAACTGTAAGTTCAAATTTTGTAAACCAGAAAGTTAACATTGCCAGCAAACATTAATCTTGCAAGACCTTATTTCTCATAGCGCAAGCTTTCATGGACTACCATTCATTTTGTCAGATGCAGGCACTCTTCTCCTGAGAACAAGATGCGAGTCCAAGTGTGAGCAGATTCCCCTTTATGTGGAAAAAAGGCTGAGGAGCTCTGAGGGCGGAAAGAGGGCATATGGAGTTGGTGGGCTGGTATGCAAGGCGAGAAAAACTGGGCGGCAAGAGAAAGAGTGGGACAGCCATCTTGGTCTGTGATGCTCTGGAGTCCTGCTCTGATATTAGATTCAGCCCTGCCAAAACCACTGCTGAGAAGCAGAGTCCCATGGAGTTCGAGGGGGCAGGTTCGCTCTTGAGAAGTGCGCGCAGCTACATACAGAGCTGCCTGCGACTGCTAGGGAAAACCACTCCCTGCTTGGGGTTGTTATGATGCATCCTCCATGTCCAGTGAGAGGAACAAAGAAATTTGTTTTTCCAAACAAAGAGCATCACACGACCGCTGCTACAATAATAGTCTTGCACCAGCCAGGGGGGTTGGACCGCACGATCTCCAAGGCACCTTCCAACCCATTCATCCCATGGTTCACCAAGTAAACAGGTCAGAACATTTCCAACTGTTGGTGACCACCCCCAGAAAAAGTGTGCCATTTTCTGAATGATTTCTTTCTTGAGAGATGATGGACCACCACCACCCAAAGTAAAGGTCTTCACCATATCCCTGATTATAAAAGTTTATTCTGCTAAATTAATGGGTAGTCTAAGCACTCCACGCTGTGCTGGTGTACGTTACCATTATCCCTCAAGGCAAAGCCTTTTCCCATCCGCAGCACCACTTTTAACAGTCTTGATTTTTTCCCAGTGACACTTGATAACGCCTCTGGGACATTGACTTATCTTTGCAACGTGATAAAACAGAATGGTTCCAGCAATCAGGTGGAAATGTTTTTGTTCTACATAATTGACTAGTGGACAGTGATTGCTAATATGCTGAGCCTAATTGCACTAGGTTATTTCTTCAAGCGCTTTCCATCTTACAACTGTAGTAGCACTAGCCCTGGCTCATCGTTGTTAGCTGGTAACCAAAGAAATAGAGTGGAGCAGAGGAGGGCATCACCATGCCAGGCAGGCACCAATAAATGAAAGGTTATACATTGTCTCATTCCCGTCTAGCCTATTTCATTTTCAAAGCAAAGGGTGCGTGTCTGTGTGTGGATTTAGTAATATGCACATATACACGTCCTTTAAAATCGATTGACTGATTATGTGCCATTAGGTCACTGTCGACCCTTAATAACCACATGGAGTTTCTCCACGGCAGTCTGTCTCTTCCTTGGCCCTTCAGGCCTCCCAACAGTGCAGCCATCGCTGCTGTAACGAGCCCATCCACCTTGCCGCTGGTCGTCGTCTTCCTCTCCTTCCTTCCCATCCTCTAAAACACTGATTTTAATATGAAAATTCTTATTGTGGTAGATGGATTTTATTGATCGTTGCTCCGCTCCAGCTGTTGCAGTCACACTAAAGTTTACCGCTACTGTTCTAAAAAAAGCTGGTTTGCGTTATCCTAACTAGGACACAGCTTTAAGCCATGAGAGGATCTCCCAGATTTAGAGTTAGACTAGAAATGGTACTGAGATGTTTAAAAAATAACAGTAAGTAGACAGCAAATGTGTTTCTCTCCAACTGGAAGACCGTAGCATTCAACAAAAGAATTCAATGGCAGCAAAGTAGCAGCACAGATTTTTACCACATGACTAAATTAGGTTTAAGTTTATATACCTGTACGTGGGCTATCCAGATCTTATAGATATGCCAAAACGTATCATGTTAATGTTAGGTCTGATCGGAGAAAAAAACTGGGAAGTGTGTGTCGGTAATAGCATGCGCGAATCTAATTTGCATGTTACACTGAAACTTCCAGATGAAGCAGAATAGAGTGTACTTTTTCTGTTTTTTTCCTCTGAAAATTATGTTATTAAATACAAATGAAACCTTCAGATATTGTGAAGTACTTGCACCCTACTTAGAAATGGGGAAAAGGGTCAGGGATCCCAAGATTCACTCAAGACTGAACTTCCCTAGGTGTAAGTTACAGGAAACTGATGCCGTTTTTACGATATAAAATGCTTCCGGTGTCAACATCCTAACAGATGACTTTTCGCCATAGCGTCTGAAGATTTCCTGCAGAGGACTTAACCAGCCTTTTACGCCTTTTTTTTTTAAAACACCAGATCCAGCATAGATAGCCCTCAGCTTCATATGCAGATCCCACTTACCCACTCCCTGAATTGTTTTTGCTTTCTTGGGTGATCGTTACACCTCCCAAGACACCAGAAATTTACTATCAGCTGCTGCTTTGTCAAGTCTGCAGAGGCTCCACCTCCAAACATCAAATTAATACCTCTGCCACCTAAAAAAATAAAACACCGGAGGGTTTCAGGCCAGAATGCTGAAATCCCTCAACATTTTGGCATTCTCACGTAAGATCATGGGAATGCGATGGCTGAAATCTCATAAGGTTTGCTGATCTCAGACACTTTAAGTGGGAATAACTATTTTTAGGATAGGTGCCAACGCCAAGTGCGAGATCATGCAGTGGCACGTGAAGATATTGCCAATCACTGGCACAGCCTAATGTAGAAAGGCATATTAAAACTGGCAAGATGACACCTAGAACAACAATTTTCTGTCACGTTTTCCAACTCGGTAATATAGAATACAGCTTCATCTCTTTGGAAGGTAGCCACAGCTGTGGTACAGGAGAGGATACAGCACAAGGCCGTCAAGGCATGAGAGACACAACGCTGTTTTACAGCTGAGGGACGGATCCCAACACAGGCTGCCAGTTGACTGTTTCTCATGCTGACAAGCAGATGGTTTGCCTAATCAAGGAGGGCTGACTTGTTCTTATTCTTTCCCTCTATCCACAGTTCACCAAACGTTAGTCGGCAATAAA